AGGGTGTGTGTTACACAATGCTGAGCGCTTACACAGTAAGCACACGAGGGGTCTGGGAGGTGTGACACATACTATGGAGTGTTCTCTGTGCTTGTGAGGCAAGCTGGGTGATGCTGTGTACTGTGGGATGAGTTATAATCAAGGCACAAGACTTATTCATTGAGGAGCATGACCTTAGGAGCATAGTTCTGTGCTCTATCCACACATGATGGGACACAATCTATGCATGGTAGGGTGTGTTCATGTGACAGAGGGCACATTGCTGAGTTGGAGGGTGCATGTGTGTGTGCATGTGTTGTGTTGTGGGTCTGGATACTGTGGGGGTGAGTGTGTGTATTAAGCAGCAAGCCCATGCATCACAGAGCACACTTCTGAACTGTGATGAAGCTCTGTGTGTGGCGAGCAGGATCTGGTTTAGGATCCTGCCCATGCTCTGTAGGGTGTGTGGCTGTTGTGGCGAAGCATCTGTGCGCTGTAATGTTCCCAGATGTTCTGGGGTTGACCCTTTTCACATTAGCAATGGTACTATCAATTACACTGTTAATTACATTAACTGAAACAGTTCCTGTGTGCCAGGCACTGTATTAAGCACTTAGCGTATCCTAATCCATTCAATACTCACAACAACCCTTTTCAATAGGTACAGCTGCTATCTTTGTTTTACAAATGAGCAAACCAAAGAACAGAGAAATATACTTACCCAATGTGCACAATTAGGAAGGGGTGGAACCTGGATTCGAACCCAAGTAGTCTGGGTCCAGAGGCCTTGCTCTTAGCCATTACACAAGTGGTATGTGTTGAGGGCCAGGGCTGCAGCTCCGTGGGATGGTAAAGCACATCTGTAAACTATGATGGAAATCTTGGTGTTGCACAGGTAATAGTGTGTGTTGTGTGTCTACATATTGGGGAAGGCTCATGTGCTTTATAGGTTTTCTATCTTAGGGTAAATGTTGTAACTCTATGCATTGAGGGAGAAATCTGTGTTCACAGGCATTTCTGTGAATTCTAAGTTTTGTGGGTGTCATTATGTCGTGGGGCAAATCTATGACTTGAAAGGCTTGACTGAGTATTTGGGGTGAGGCTCAGGGTTCTGTGGTGTTTGCGTGTGTCATGGAGCAAGTCTGTGTGTTGATGGGAGAATCTGTGCATCTAGATGAAGTTCTGGGACTCCTTGGGCCGACTTTGGTGTGAAAGCCATCTGTGTGTTACGGGTGAAGCCGGAGGTTGTAGAACAAAGGGTGGTGAGTGTCTGGGGGTGTGTGTGTGCACTGCGTAATCACCCTAAGGAGTGTGGTTTGGGTGAAGTGAATCTTCATGACAAGTGTGTTCTGTGACATGACTCTGCATAACTGAGTGCAGGGTTGTGCTTTATCATAGGTTGTATCGAGGCTGTGAGGTGACTGTGCGCTGAGGGGCAAATCTGAACACTTCCGGGAAAAGTTAGGTGCTGCCACGGCATGAGCGTGTCTGTTGTGGAAGAAGCCTGTGCGCTGTAGGGCTAGTATGCACACTGGGAAGTAGTGCTGTGAGTTGTGAGGTGTGTATATGTATCACAAAGTGTGTCTGAAGAATTTGACAGGGGCTTTCTTGATTCAAGGCCACAGTGTGCCTTATGGAGAAGTGGATATTTGGAGGAGCTCTGGACGCTGTAGGGCACACGAGGGTGCCATAGGGTGTGTTTGCATTGTGTGGTGACTGTGTTTGTTGCGGAGTCAACTGATGCCTTGGAGGGAAAGATGGTGTGTTGTGCCAGTCGAGGGGATACATGTTAAGATGGTCTTTGCATCTCTCTGCGATGGGGTGAGCTTGTCCGAGTGCAGTGGGGCGAGCCTGTGCTCTGGATTTAATCTTGGTGCTGTGGGCTGAGTCTTGGAGCTGTGGGGAGGGTCTAGGTGGTGCGGGCACGTCCCTGGGCTGTGGACGTGACTGTGTCCTACCGAGAGGCTGTGTGTCCTGGGGTTAGTCAGCTGAGTCGGAGAGGGTCTGTGTGCCCGGGGTGGGGGGCTGGGTCCTGGGGAGACAGCTGGTTTGTGGGATGAGCCTAGATACTGGAGACAGTACACTGTGTGCTGTGGGGAGCATCTTTCAGCCAAAAGGAGAATCTGTATGTGTCCAGGACACTCCATGTGCTGTTGGCGGGGGCTGGGTGGGGGGGACTGTGTTTTGCAGGGTAAGTCTGTGTGATTTGAGTTGTGTCTGTGTCCTGCGGGCCACGTCCATGTCCATAGGAGCGGGCTTGGGTGCTGTGCTGCTTGTCTGCGTGCTGTGGAGTTCGCCTGTCTGTCAGCGGAGAAAGTGTGTGTCTCTCTGTGCAGATTTTCAAGCTGTGTAGTGAACTGTGTTCTGGGATGGGGGAGGCTGTGTGCCTGGTGTGGGGTGGGGGGTGAGGTCCTGTGCCCGGAGGAGGGCCTGTGTGCTCTGGGGGTCGTCTCTGTGCCCTGGGAAAAATCCTCACCCTTGGCGGGAGTCTGTGTGCTGGGTCAGGGAGATGCAAACAGAGTCTACGCCCTGCGGAGGACCTCAGCTATGGGTTTACTGGGTGGGGCATTGGAGAAATCTGGGTGCTGTGGGGACAGCCTTTCTTCCATGGGGCGCCTATGTGCCACGGACTGAGTCCCTGCTGTGTGGTAAGAGTGTTGTGTCATGGGGCATATTGGTGAGTGGGAGGGCATGTCTGTGACCTCTGGAGTGAGTCTTTGGGCCTTGAGAAGATGCTTGCTTTTGGAAGAATCTGTGTTCTGTGGGCTGTGTCTGTGGGCTCCACGTGTGCCAGGGAAAGGCTCTGTGTGACGTGGGGACAGTCGGAGGGGCTATGATGGTCTGTGTGTCTGGGGTAGAGTGTCTCTGTGTCACGGGGGGTGCAGATCTGCATCCTTTAGTGAGACTTTTGGCTGCGGGGAGGATATGTGTGCCTCTGGGGGAGGCTGGGTGATGTGGTGAAATGTGTGCTGTGGGGCACGTTTGTGGCCCTGGTGTTTATCCTCGTGCAGTAAAGAGTCTTTGTGTTGTAGGGGTAACTGCTGTGCTTGTGCTGTTTGGCCAAGGGACATTAGAGGGTGAGTTTGTACATTGCAGCACAAGTCCGTTTCAGGGCAGGTCTCCTTTAATATCTACAAAGAATAATAGCCAACACTTATACACTGATTATCATTACCGGACACTGTTCTAAAGGTGCTATTATTACTCCCATTTTCCACCTGAGGAAATTGAGGCACAGAGAGATTAAGTAAAATTGTACCTGTGATCATGCAACCGGTGGAGGTTTGAAACAAGGCAGTCTGTTACCTGTGTCCACACCATTATGAATCTCCTGGGGGTCCTGAGGCGTCAATATCCCCTTGTGGGTGAGTGACCTCAAAGATTGGGAAGACTTCCTGATCTCTGGTGGACATACTGAGAGCAGGTAATATAGGAGGAAGAAAAAGGGAGTGGCTCAAAGCCTTCCGAGGATTAAAAAAAATTCAATGCTCTGTATACCATAATGGTGGCATTTCAGCCCAGAAGTACTGACATCAGGACAGCAAAATAACACCTTCAGCGTCTGGAGCCCCCATGACCCCTCCCTCGCCTCCACAGCCGCATTCTGCCACTGCAGAAGAGCGAATGCGCATGCCCTGGTGAGCTGCCATTGCCATGGAAACCAACCTCCAGTCACAAACAAATCATAGCCTAATACAGCAAATCTAGAAATGATTGGGGCTGTGGCTGTGAGCCAAAGGAGCCCCTTGCAGTAAGGGCAGGCAGGGCATCCTCCCACCCACGCCCCCCTTTTTTCTTCCTGAATCAGTAAAGGCTAGAAGTCAATAGAGAAAAGAAGACTGTGCTGGGAGTCGGGGTGGCAAGGGTCAACAGTGGGTGGCAGGTGATTTTAGTAGTCAAATATTTCTTTGAGTAACATTTAACCCATCTCCCACTAAAAGACTCCATGGCTTATGCTTGAGCCTTCCACCTGCAGTAAAAAGAAGCGAATCACAGGAGTATGTCCCTCTCTACAAGAGATGGTGGCAGTGCTGGCATGGATTGAGACTCATCCTGCCCCCTTTAAATCCCTAGATCAGACTACTGCCAGCAACAGGCTGGCAAACGTTATTTATTTTTGCTCCTTATACATTTCTTACATTTTCTACTTCTACAATTCTAGAAAATTCCAGGAACTGAGTCCAGTCAGCTTTAATTCTCCGAGTACCTGAGGAGTAGAAAAAGAGGTTGAAGGAGGAACTTTAGGAATAACACTAACCCCAGGAGTATTATTTGACTACACAATTAGGCTGTCAGCTGTGTCTAGGAGGAATAGCACATCTGGAACAGTGGTTTAATATATCAGGATTCCTCGATTTTCACTTGTAAAACACATCTCAGAAAGATAATTTTTTGACTATTTAAAACGTTTAAATCCTGTTTGAAAATCACTGCCCTAAACTCTGTGTGCCCTGAATTTGTGAAAGGCATCAGCAAGAACGTGATGCTATAGTATAGAAAGCTGCAAGAAGTCAGAAGCTGCAAGAAGGTACCAGTGCTATTGTTGGATGTAACCTTCTTGAGTAGAGAGAAAATGGCCGACCTGTGGGAAGCTACACCCTATCTAGTGGGAGGACAGTTCGTGCCATTTCAAATCAGTGAAAGAAGGTTGGATTATTCAATAAATGATGCTGAAACAATTGGTGACCTATTTGGAAAAAACACAAAATTAGATCTACTTCATATCATATGCCAAAATGAATTCTAGATGAATTAGAGTTAATTGCAAAGAATGAAACAAGTAAATGACTAGGAAAAATGCAGGTGAATATACTCATAAAAGAAAAAAATCACAAAATCAAAACTTGATAGTTATGGATGTCTAAAAATGTAAAGCTGCAACACGTTTAAGAAAACTCATCATAAATGATAAAACATAAATAGGCAAATAAACTGGAATATAATGCTTTTACCACATATGATAAATAAATGAGGTGATATTGTATGGGGTTGGCCGGGTAGGGGAGAAACCTTAAACTGGTTCATACCATTTGATCCAGGAATTCCACAGCTATGAATTTATCCTAGGAGAAAAAAAAAAAAACAAAAAAGCTCACAGAGGTTTATATGGAAAGATATTCCTTAAATTATAACAGCAAAAACTGCACGTAGAAACTTTCAATAATTGGACATTTAGTGGAATACTTATATGATTGAAAATTAAGCATCCACAAAACATCGCATTCTTGTGGGATATTTTAAAATATGGGGAATTTCTCTCAATATATTGCTTAGTGATTAAAGCAGATTGAAAAGGATATGTGCGTAGGATCTTAATTTTATATATAAATACACATTTTATGCATAGATTTGCATGGATTCAGAGAAGAGGGACTGACTATATTAACAGCAATTAGCTCTTGGTTATAGGATTCTGGGTAATTTGTATAGGCATCTTTAGGTTTTCCCCAATTTTCTACAACAAATATGTGAATTTTTATAATAAAGGGGAAAGACGGCAAGATATTTTAATAAGATATTGATTTTAATAAGGGCTATAAAAGGGATGAGAGTATGGAAAAGAAAGTCTTGGATTAGAAACAATAAAAAGCAAAGAGTAAATTTGCCCATGTTTATTAATGGTGGAGCATACCAGATAAACTCAAGATGTGTTATGTAAAGATTATGGTAGTATTTGTATGTTAGTAGGTACAGAATTTCTTATACAAGATGGACTCCTGGAAAATTTTCTTCACTACAGCAGAGGATGGTCACATGTCCCTGGACGTGTCAGTCATCCTCTTTGCCGCAGTGCTCTGTTCGAAGCCCCCTCCCTCCTATAGCTTCATCACACTCTCCCCACCACCTCCTGCAAAACATGCCACCAGCAGACATTTTCAGCTTGGAAAAAATGGCCCCTCTTACCAACTTTCTTTAAAGCTATTTCATTCTTATCTCTTCCTCCCTGACTGCTATTTTGGCATCTAACTCAAAAAATCTACTTATCTCTCTTTTTCCTCCTTTGCTTCCTATTGACAAAGCAATCTGAATTTCAGAGAAATAAAAAACCCAACACTTCAGCTTTGTTTTTTCTTTTTTTTCTTGCAGAAACATATGTACGAAAGCAATCTCCAGGTAAAAGGAGACACGAAAGTGTAAATATTTTCAGGCATGATTCAGAAACAAATATAAAAGCTTTGTTGATAGGAATCTATTTTTTTTCCACATCCCTTTCCCAAGAAAGAAGCACTGATTATATTGTCTTTACTGTAAAAATCGATGTCCACAAATACAAATGAATTATTTTCCAAATAAAGGCACAGTCACAATAGTCATTATTTCTCTTTCATGATGTTTCATCCTAAAACCAAATTTAAATCTTTCTCATTCAACACACGTTCATCTCTCATGTGAAGCAATTAATCTGAACATTACAGGGTGCCCTCCTTCTCATTTTCTCTTCTGTACAGACATCCAGTCACATGATTTTCTTAATTAAAAAAAATGAGGCATGGTATTCTTTTCCCCATTGCAAAATAACATTTTTCTCATGCTCTCTCCATACCCTGAAAGGAAATCAGATCTTAGAACATTGTGAATCGTCATCCATTTCATCACATCTACTGCAAGCATCCTAAAGCTGCCATAGCATTCCGAACGCAATTTCTCATTTCAATAACATCTTCATCGAGTCCTCTTTGAGGTACTATCTTAACCAGAATCACAAGAGGGAAGTTTCTATATTTCCTTCTAAAAATTCATTCACTTTTCAGAAATGAGCTTTAAACTAGAAAAGTGACCGTGGAATGTTTAGAATTGAATTAAGCCATTTTCTCAATGCCATGGATTAAAATCAGAAATTCCTCCACAGTTCTGTATTATCTTGATCCATCAAAACATGCCGCTTGCTATAAAAAAAAAAAAAGAAAGAAAGAAAGAAAGAAAGAAAACGTTTCGGATATCTATGTTACAAAAGATTTCTCCACTACTTACCAGCTGCCTTCGCTCTGCCTCTCCACCAGCTAGGAGGTTGTCGCACTGAAGGGGTGGGGGGAAGAGCCGCAGCAGCCGCTGGAAAATGAGCTGTGCTGTGAAGAATGGATTAGCTGGAGGGAAAGGGAAAAAATGCCTTGGCATTATCCTCAAAATTCCTCTCCAAACATAAAATCATATTAAACATTACATGCTAAAAAGCGCATGCTCAACAAAGGGCGGAATTTAATAGTGAAACCGCTGATCTAAAACATACCTAAATTGTCTTTCTTTCCAGTGAAACCCCTACAAAGCCATGGTTTTTGGCTCTCCCATCTCCTAGCAACAGTCTCATTAATATTTTTCTCTGCAGTGGCCCTACTAGGCATCAGAGAACATTCACAAGGTCTAGTCTCTGAGCATTAACATTTTATTGTTCAAGATGCATGCGTTTTCCCCAGTAAGGGCAAGGCAGGCATTCAATAACAAGTTCTCCCTGGGAAGATTTCAGATTCCGAAGACATTTGAGTCAAATGACAGAGATTGTTCTTGTCTGGTCCCTGTCCCTTGGTGCAGTGTTGTCTCTAGACCCCTGACCTAAAGATGGGAGTTAGCAAAAGATACCTAAACCTTTCTGCCATGACCAAATTACAAATAGCAGCACAGCTATAAATCCAGGCTCTAAATCAGTGTTGTTATCCACTGTGCTCAGAGAAAAAATTAATGCACAGAATTCGTTCCTATCCTTAGTCCTATAACCATGCTCCCCACCCACCTTCTTGGTTACTGGAGGTACATGTTACAAAAATAGTGGATGAAATATAAACAGATAAAAAACAACCCACTTATCTATTATTAACATGGAAAATATTAACTACATGTTAAGAAAAAGAAGGCAGGTTACTATACAGTATATATAATATCATTTTTATATCTTATATGGCTAGGAATAAGTATACATAAATAAAACTGAAAGGATATTTCCCAAAATGTTAGGAATAGCTATGTCTGGGTTTTCTATGGGTGGTAAATTTGAGGGGTGTTTAGATCATTTTTCTTTTTGATTATCTATTTAATAACTTTTCTGTAATTAACATATATTCCTTGGGTTATTAAAAGAGAACCATGCACAACAATGTGAACATACTTAATGCCACTGAACTGTTCACTTAAGATAGTTAAAATGATGCATTTTATATTGTGCATATTTTACCATAGTAAAAGAAGAGAAAGAAAACCATTCATTCATCCCTCGAACATGTATTGAGTCTCACCACATTCAAAATACTGAGGGTAGAAAGATACAGTCTCCCTAGACTGAACCAGGAAGAAATGGAAAATATGAACAGCACTGAAATTGAAATCGTGATTAAGGACCTCCTAAAAAACAAAAGTCCAGGACCTGACAGCCTCACAGGCAAATTTTATCAAACATTTAGAAAAAAGTTAACACCTGTCCTCCTGAAACTGTTCCAAAAAGTTGCAGATGAAGGAAAATTTCCAAACTCATTTTATGAGGCCACCATCACTATGATACTAAAACCAGACAAAGATACCATTTAAAAAAAAAAAAAAGGAAATCACAGGCCAATATCAATGATGGACATAGATGCAAAAGTCCTAAACAAAATATTAGCAATCCATATCCAGCAACACATTAAAAGGATCATATACCCTGATCAAGTAGGATTTATCATAGGGATGCAAGGATTTTTCAACATTTGAAAATCAATCAATCAAATCAAATCAACCACATCAACAAACTGAAGAATAAAAACCACATGATCATCTCAATAGATGCAGAAAAAGCTTTTAACAAAATTCATTACCCATTTATGATTAAAAATACTCTCCAGAAAGTGGGCATAGAGGGTATATACCTCAATATAATAAAGGCCATATAGACAGACCTACATTTTTCACAGAACTAGAACAAAAAGTCTCAAAATTTGTATGGAGACACAAAAGACCCTGAATAGCCATAGCAACCTTGAAAAAGAAAAACAGAGCTGGAGGACTCAGAATCCCCGACTTCAGATTACACTGTAAGACAAAGCTAGTATCATACTCAGTGGTGAAAAGCTGAAAGCTCTCCCTCTAAGATCAGAAACAAGACAAAGATGTTCACTCACACAGTTTTCATTCAACATAGTTCTGGAAGTCCTAGCTACAGCAATCAGAGAAGAAAAAGAAGTAAAGGGAATCCAAACTGGAAAAGAAGAAATTAAGCTATCACTGTTTGCAGATGACATGATACTATACATAGAAGATTCTAAAGATGCTACCAGGAAACTGCTAGAACTCATCAATGAACTTGGTAAAGTTGCAGGTTACAAAATTAATACACTGAAATCTGTTGCATTTCTATACACTAACAATGAAAAATCAGAAAGAGAAATTTAAGAAGCAATTCCTCTTATGAGAGCATCAAAATACTGGGGGTAGAGAATTATAAAAATGAATAAACACAATCCATTACCTTTCTAAAAAGCTCGTAATTTAACAAAGAGCTACCCCTCAAATTTCTATATGGGTTTTTATTATACATGACATGTACAATTGCCACACTTAGAAGTATTTTATTATTTTTTTTAATGTCATCCATTTGGGATAACATTTATAATTAGGGTTGTTACATTATCTGCCTAAAAATATTGGACACTCAGTGGTGGAGGAAGAAATACATAAGAAATATTTTAAAATATATGTGCATTTTCATATTTGTATAGAGTTGCTACATTTTAAAAAGGAGGGGCAGGGAAACTGTTTTGGATTAAAGAAGATTAAGAAATATGACCTAAAAAAAGAGCTCTGATAACCAAATGCAATGCGTGATCTTGGATTGGATCCTCAGTAGAAAATGCTATAAGAGACATCTGAGGGGAAATTAGGACATTTGAATATAGGCTAGATATTAGGTAATATTAGATCAATATAATAGTTGGTATGATAATGTGGGATGATGGATTTGTTCTCATGAGACACATGTTCAAGTATTCAGAGATGAAGTTCCATGATGTCTACAAATTACTCTAAAATGCTTTAGAAAAAAATCAAAGAACGGATAGACAGAGCAAATTAGCAATACGCTGGTGGCTCAGTGGTAAAGAATACGCTTCCCAATGCAGGAGATGTGGGTTCAATGCCTGGGTCAGGAAGATCCCCTGGAGAAGGAAATGGCAACCCACTCCAATATTCTTGCCTGGGAAATCCCATGGACAGAGGAGTCTGGCGGGCTGCAGTTCATGGGGTCACAAAGAGTCAGACACGACCTAGCGACTAAACAACAAGTAATTGGTAAATCTAGATTAAGTACATGCAGGTGTTTACTCTGTTGTTCTTTGCTCTAAATTTCAGAAAATAAAGAATAAAATGCTTTAACAAAAATAGTTATTGCACAATAATTATATTTAAAGTTATTACAGGCAGATTCTTAACCGTCTGAGCCACCAGGGAAGCTAAAATGTATATACGTTTTAGAACTAATGAGAATTAAGTTTGTAGTCGCTCCATATTAACCAATTGAATGATGAATATTTGCCATGCGCCATCTAGTGGTAAAATCCTGATTTACCAAGACGGAAGGATTTCTAAAGAACACAATATGATTGACTCATTAAGTATTGTTGTTTAGTAGCTCAGTCGTGTTCCACTCTTTGAGACCCCATAGACTGCAGCACGCCAGGCTTCCCTGTCCTTCACCACCTCCGAGAGCTTACTCAAACTCATGTCCATTGAGTCGGTGATGCCATCCAACCATCTCGTCCTCTGTCGTCCCCTCCTCCAGTCTTCAATCTTTCCCAGCATCAGGGTCTTTTCTAATGAGTCAGCTCTTCACATCAGGTGGCCAAAGTATTGGCGCTTCAGCTTTAGCATCAGTCCTTCCAATGAATATTCAAGATTGATTTTCTTTAGGATGGACTGGTTTGATCTCCTTGCAGTCCAAGGGACTCTCTTCTCCAACACCGCAATTCAAAAGCATCAATTCTTTGGCGCTCAGCCTTGTCTATGGTCCAGCTCTCACATCCATACATTACTACTGGAAAAACCATAGCTTTAATTCGATGGACCTTTATTGCCAACATAATGTCTCAGCTTTTTAATATGCTATCTAGGTTGGTCATAGCATTTCTTTCAAGGAACAAGCGTCTTTTAATTTTATGGCTGCAATCACCATCTGCAGTGATTTTGGAGCCCAAGAAAATAAAGTCTGTCACTGTTTCCATTGTTTCCCCATCTATTTGCCATGAAGTGATGGGACCAGATGCCATGATCATAGTTTTCTGAATGCTGAGTTTTAAGCCAGCTTTTTCACTCTCTTCTTTCACCAAGAGGTTCTTTAGTTCCTGTTTGCTTTCTCCCATAAGGGTGGTGTTATCTGCATATCTGAGGTTATTGATATTTCTCCTGGCAATCTTGATTTCAGCTTGTCATATTAGTACAAGTTTATTGTAATAATAAAACTTATTTTTATTATAGTGTATTAATATAGCTAAAAGGCTCCCTTCATTTTCAGGATTTGTTCATGGTTGTAGGGGAATGCCTCTGCTCAGGTGTGCTACCTGAAAGGTCACTCTGACCGCAGGCGGGAAAGCGCCAGCCAGAAAATGCTGACAGAGAAGCCCCCGCCGAAAAGTCCCGGATAAGTCCCAGGGACAGACATCCACCAATCAATGGCCCGTTGCCAGGCAGACTGATGGACACAAAGGCGCCAAGACTCTGGCCAATCAAAAACTGGCACGAGACCAGAAAGTCCAACCAGCACCCTAGAACCCAACCCTAACCGTTATATGGAAAGGTCCCGCCAGGTCTGCAGCCGCCAGGGTATATAGGTGTCGCCCCCCCCTTCCCGCAGGGTTGCAGACTCCCGCTTTCCCCTGCTCACGCCTGGGAGCTCTGCCCGGGAGCGATTGCCCAATAAAAGCCTCTTGATATTCAGGCACTCTCTTTGTCTTGCCGCGGCGTTCTTACATTTGGCGCCCAACGTGGGGCTCGAGGTGAGGGCCCCGGCTTACACCGTGCGGGCCCCCTTGAGCTCCACCGCCGCGGCCATACGTGCCCCAGCCGCGGACCAACCTCCCGGATGGCAGACGATGGGGTAAGTCCCTCCATCTTTGGGTCCCGCCACCCTGGGCGACCACTTCCTAGGGCCAGATAACCAGTGCGCACTTATCGGGCCCTCATCCAGCAGCTGTGCCTCTTCCTGGTTCTCAGCTCGTGCCGGAGACGTCCTAATTGGCTGAGTAACCCCCGGTCTCTCTCGAGACCTCCGATCCGGCTGCCTCTGTTCGCCAGGGGATGCCCGGACAATAGAGGCTAGCCCCGCGTGGTCACCATGGGGTCGACGGCCTCCAAACCCGAGTCCAATTGGTCTGCTCCACTAGAATGCCTGCTAGCCAACCTAAAAAATCTGAGGTTAACGGGCTACGTCCGGCCAAAACGGCTCATTTTTTTGTGCTCAGAGGCTTGGCCTCAATACCCCCTAGACAATGATTCCCATTGGCTCCCCACAGGGACACCAGACTTTGATGTCCTCCATGATCTAGATAATTACTGTCGGAGAACGGGAAAATGGTCTGAGGTCCCCTACGTACAGGCTTTCTGGACACTGCGCTCCCGCCCTACCCTTTGCACAACCTGCTCCCCGACCCAAATTATGCTCACCATGGCTCCTAAACGGCCCGCCTGCCCAAATCCAGACACCCCCTCCCAAAGAATCGCCAGGCCCTGAGTCCTCTGCCTTCCCTATTCCCCCAGAAGACCTGGTCGCCCCCCCCCACCCTATGCTCCTCTGACTCCAGCAGCTCCCTCCCCCACTCCCACTCCCCTAGCTGCCTCAACAACACCTCCCCACACTTCCTCAATCAATACACAACCGACTCCAGCAGCTCCCTCCCCCCCTCCCACCTCCCTAACTGCCCCAACAACACCTCCCCACACTTCCTCAATCGATACACAACTGACTGAAACTATACACCTCCCTCCTACTCCCATTCTCTATCCTCCATTACCTCCCCTAACACCCTCCCCATCACCAGTCAGCTCACACACACGGTCCCACAGACAGCCGTCCTGAGATTCTTTTCCCTGTGCCCCAGCCCCCCTACTCCCTCTGAGACAAGTAGTCAGAGCCGAGGGCTTGGCACAGGTCCACGTCCCCTTCTCCCTCCAAGACCTGTCTCAAATTGAGGCCAAGCTTGGGTCATTCTCATCCAACCCTACCCATTACATCAAGCAGTTCACCCAATTGACCCGCTCATACGCCTTAACCTGAAAAGATATCTATGTGGTCTTAGGTTCCTCCACCACCCCAGAAGAGCAACAAGCCATTTGGACAGCCGCTAAGACCCAGGCCGACAAGAGACACTTAGCCAACCCCTCTCCCAAGCGCCCCCCAGGGGCCCAGGCAGTCCCTGACACAGACCCTAACTGGAACTATCAACAGACTGGGGGAGGTGAACTCAGGGTCAGATAAATCGTAGGGTGCCTCCTGGGTGGCTTGGAAGCCACTTCTAATAAAGTGGTCAACTTCCTCAAGCTAGATGAGATCACCCAGGGCCCTGACGAAAACCCTGCTATGTTCTTAAATAGGCTAACAGAGGCCCTTATCCAATATACCTGACTGGCTCCAGACTCCCCAGCCGGAGCAGTCACTCTGGCCAATTGTTTTATCTCTCAATCCGCCCCCGACATTCGAAAAAAGCTGGCCAAGGCTGAGGGCGGCCCTCAGACTCCCATACGAGACCTGGTAAAAATGGCCTTTAAAGTTTACAATGCCTGGGAAGAGACTGCAGAGGATAGTCGTAAAGCCAGACTGAGACAAAAGGCTGAACTCCAGGCCAGCCTCCTCAACCAACAAACCCAGGCTCTGGTAGCAGCCCTGCGGCCGGCAACGGGCTAGGGCCCACAAAAACCCCCACCGGGGGCCTGCTTCAAATGCGGCAAAGAGGGACACTGGGCCAAAATGTGTCCTAACCCAAGACCACCCACAAGGCCCTGCCCAAAGTGCAGGCAACGCGGACACTGGGCAAGTGACTGTCCCTTGGCCTCTCAGGCCCTGACCCCAGGGGGTAAGGGACCAGAGAGACCCAGGCTGACTCCGAGCCCAGACCCTGCCCTACAACTGCTGACCTTTGATGAAGACTGAAGCCGCCCAGACTCGGGAACCCCAATAACCCAAGCCGAGCCCAGGGTAATGCTCCAGGTAGCAGGTAAGTCGATCGACTTCTTGGTTGACACGGGGGCTACCTATTCAGTCCTTCCCTCTTTCGGAGGCACCTTGCGTCCTTCCCGGGTCTCGGTAATGTGAATTGATCGCCAGCCGTCACAGCCTTTAGAGACCAAGCCCTTAAACTGCCAATTAGACAATTGCCTATTCACCCACTCCTTTCTAGTTATTCCCTCCTGCCCGACCCCTCTGCTAGGGAGAGATATTCTAACAAAACTCAAGGCCACACTTCACCTAGCCCCAGGGCCTTTCCCTTCCACAGGCAGATTCCTACTGCTACTCACCGGGTCCTCTAGCTCCCAAATAGATCCCCAGGTTTGGGACACCAAGATCCCAACAATTGCCCAACACCAACCCCCAGTCCTCATCCACCTAAAAGACCCCACCTGTTTTCTGGCTCGGGCCCAGTTCCCCCTGTCCCAGCCCAACCTTCGAGGGCTTAAGCCAATCATTGACCACCTCCTGGGACAGGGCCTACTGGTCCCCACCTCGTCCCCATGTAATACCCCCATCCTTCCGGTCCGTAAGGCCTCAGGAGCCTACCGACTAGTCCAAGACCTCCGGCTTATCAACGAGGCCATTGCCCCTGCATACCCTCTGGTCCCCAACCCCTATACTTTATTGTCCCAAATACCCATGGGCACCACCCACTTTACGGTAATTGATCTCAAAGATGCATTCTTTTCCATCCCAATCCACCCCGACCGTCAATTTCTGTTCGCCTTCACCTGGAATGATCCTGACACCAGACAGGCCACTCAATTCACGTGGACAGTCCTGACTCAGGGGTTCCGAGATAGCCCTCATTACTTCAGCCAGGCCCTGGCCCAGGACCTGGCCCTCTGCCCTCTTAGCCCTAGTACCCTGCTCCAATATGTAGATGACCTCTTACTATGTAGCCCTTCCGAAGATCTCTCAAAACAACACACCACAGCTCTCCTTAACTTCCTGGCCTCCAAAGGATACCGGGCCTCACAGTCAAAGGCCCAACTCACCCAGTCCTCGGTTACTTACCTGGGATTACAAATTACCCCCACCACCAAGGCCCTCACAACCGACCGTTGCCAACTCCTCCAGTCTATCCAGCCTCCAACTAACGGAGACCAAATCCTGTCTTTCCTGGGCCTGGCGGGATTCTTCTGCCATTGGGTTCCCAACTACGCCTCACTGGCAAGACCCCTCTATGCAGCAGCAAAGGAAACCCCAAAGGGGCCACTCTCTTCACAAAACAAGGTCACCCGAGCCTTCCTCACATTACAGTCTGCTCTGACATCTGCCGCTCCCCTCTCCCTGCCTAATCCTAACTACCCATATCATCTCTATACTGATGAAAAGGGGGGAGTAGCCTTTGGGGCCCTGGTACAGCCGGTGGGCTCTGAGTTGCTGCCTGTCGCCTTCACCTCCAAACAACTAGACCCCACTGCCAGGGGATGGTTCCCCTGCCTACGAGCACTGGCAGCGGCAGCAGCGGTTTACATGGACGCAAAAAAGTTACTTCAAAATCAACCTCTAACCATTTTCTCGCCTCACCGTCTCAGTGACCTCTTGGCTTCCAGATTCCTCTCTGACCTCAGTGACTCCAGACTACAACAGTTTCACTTAATATTCCTAGACAACCCACAGGTCACCGTGGGACGTAGTTCCCAGCTGAACCCACTATCTGCGCTTCCCTCTCTCCCGATTTCCTTACGAGTCCCTGCTCACCAGTGTACCGAGATCTTAGACTCCCTGACACAGCCACCTCCAAACCTCTTTGCAGAGCCATTGCCGGACCCCGATATGACCATGTTTGTCGATGGGAGTTCCAAAAAGGACCCAAATGGGCGCCGGGCAACGGCCTACGCAACAGTCACCCTACAGAAAGTCCTTGAGGCCCAACCCCTCCCACTAGGAACAACGTCCCAAAAGGCAGAACTAACTGCATTGACCTGAGCCCTACACCTAGCAAGAAACAAAAGGGCCAATATCTACACAGACTCTTAAGTACGCTTTCCTAATCGCCCACTCACACGCGGCAATCTGGAAAGAGAGAGGCTTTCTCACAACTAAGGGCTCCCCAATATGTAATGCCTCCCATATTACCAGACTACTGGAGGCCATCCCCCTGCCAAAAGAAGTAGCCATCTTACATTGCCGGGGACACCAGGCAGCTTGCGATAAAACAGCCCAGGGTAATAATTTGGCTGACCAAGTGGCCTGACAAACCGCCCTGCAGCAAGAGGCAGTCCCTCTACTGGTCCTGGAAACTTCCTTTACCCCTAAATACACCAAGGCAGAAACCAGAGCTCTACTCGCCCAGGAGGGGACACAAACACATCCTTCCGGATGTATCACCCTCCACGAAAAACTGGTCCTCCCTGAACAACAAGCCATCACCATCATAAAGCAGATCCATGACACCCTCCATATCGGACCGTGAGCTCTCTTAACTTTCCTTAGCCCGCTCTTCTCCCCTCTTCACCTTAGACAGACCATCCAGACCGTACATTGCTCCTGTCTGACCTGCACAACAATCTCTCCTCAAGGAGGGCTCCAGCCCCCCCAGGAAACCCACCAGCTGAGAGGACATCTGCCCGGTCAAGATTGGCAGGTGGACTTCACTCACATGCCCAGACACTGGGCTTATCGTTATTTGCTGGTACTCGTGGACACATTCTCAGGATGGGTCGAGGCCTTCCTCACCTCCTGCAAAACGGCCACAATAGTATCCGAAACGCTGGTCAAACACATCATCCCCCGGTTCAGACTCCCTAGCTCCCTCCAATCCGATAACGGACCTGCTTTTGTTTCGCATATAACCCAGCAGGTAGCTGCAGCCCTCAACATCACCTGGCATCTTCACATCCCATACTGACCCCAGTCATCAGGTAAGGTAGAACGGGCCAACGGGGTCCTCAAAGCCCACCTCGCCAAGCTCGCCTCAGAAGTGCGGCTCTCCTGGGTCGACCTCCTCCCCTTGGCTCTCACCCGCATCCACACAACACCACACTCAAAGATAGGTTTGACCCCCTTCAAACTGCTGTACGGCAGGCCCTACCTGCTGACCCATCTGCCCCCAGAAAAACCACCTCCCCTGGCCAATTATCTGCCCCTCTTCACCCGCCTGCGCGCCTTACTCAGGGAACACGCAGATTGGGTCCTGCCACAACCTGGAGAAGGTGACGGCTCCATCAGACCGCTATCGCCCGGGGACCAGGTACTACTCAGGACCCTGTCTCCAGGGCCCCTCCAACCTCGTTGGACGGGTCCTTACACAGTAGTCCTGACCACCCCCACTGCAGCCAAGCTCTCAGGCCTCGAACCCTGGTACCATGTGACCAGGCTCAAACGAGCCCCCCCAGGCCTTCCAGAAAGAGATCCAGGCTTAGACTCGGGTCCAAAGGCTTCGCCAGGACACCCATACCAGTCCTCTCTAACGGGGCCCACAAAACTAAAAATC